CAATCTCAGGCGACCAGACTGTCCTTCTCGTCATGGGATTGGTCAGTGTGCATCGATAGTCTCCCTCATCCGAGGTCTTAAAATTGTTTATCAGTAAAAGCACCCGGTCCTCGTTCGGTCGACGCACCTGCTTGTACTTCTCTGTGGAACAAAAAAAGGAAAAAAAAAACAAGATTACCACAATGGCTGGTACACAGCTAGTAGGCAGTGAGTTGTTCAGCGCGACTATTGGTTGCAATCAAGGACGCCGACCACGACCACGACAGCTGATTGGACAAGGGAACGAGCGAACACAGCACAACACACCACAGGGATTCGAAAGAGCAGGCAAAAATAAGCGAAAACAAGGATTACCTCTTCCGTTGATGCCTAGAAGCAAGTGAAGGAGTAAACACGGGGAGGCGTATGACAGCAGTGACAAGTGGGGTGGGGAGAGGAGGGACTGGGTAAACACTGGAGTGGACAGTTTGTGTACGCACTTGTACAGGGACGCCACTGTTCAAGTGGTACCTCCTTAGGCGTGTTTGTTTCAGGACTGGTTGGCAACTTTTACTTTGTGAAATCGCCCACCAAGTTAAAAAAGCATTTCACAACACTATCCGTGGTCACATAACTAAGGACAACCTCAGGACACGCGCATCCGTGTCACCACCTATGCATCCATTTGCACCCGACTGACGATCCAACACTCCCTCTCCTGAATTCTATGACACCATTCGCCATTTAGGCAACATGGATTTGAAATGAGATTAACTGGATGAGACTGTGGACCATGACACCACTAGACTAGCCATACACCAGGCCAGGCGGATAAAGATCCGTACCGACATTTGTGCGTCCCTTCACGTATCCACATATCCATCTCAGATTTCATCCACCCAATAACCATCCATCTCCGTATGTAAGCTCACCTCCCCCATTCGCACAATCGCTCATCCATTATCCACCTGTTAGTCCCTCGAACCGGCGCATCCGTTCCGCCTCCCGCCTCTTCATACAGCCAACCACCCATCCCCCAATCACTGATTGCCTCGTCATCTACCTCCACACCTTCCATTCATGCATCTATCCAACATTCAGGTTCTTCGATGACACCATGCTCTCGAGACCAGTAGGTGCGTAGTGGAGGCGGGGAGGGAGGGAAAGAGGACTCACGAGAATAGCTGATTACGGTCTCGTTGAGATAGAATTGCACGGTGGGTGGCGGTTGACTGTCCGGTGGAATTCGACAGCTGACAAAGGCCGTGTTGCCGCTGATGAACTCCTGCACTCGAGTGTTGGTGAAGCCCGAGGGAGTGGACACCTCCGGAAGCCCTGACAAAAGGCAAGCAAAGAAAGGTTTGGAAAAAGGCAGTGCATTTTACACTTCAGAGGCATAATTTTGTGGAGGTATAAGGTTGGATTTGCAGATGGGGGCTTCAAACCCTTCCATCACCATAATTTCATGTCGACGAATAACCCAGGAAGGCATTCCAGTGTCAGGATTGTAGGGAATGACGGCTGTTAGTCATCCCGAAGTTCAAAAGGCAGTCCAGACAATCCTCGGAGATGATAAATCTCACACCCTCTCGTGGCACAGTTCAAAGCTGAAGGGTGGATCAAAGTAGAACAAAGAATGGGTGAAGGCATGGCCGAATGGAT